ATCGCTGTTTGCATGCATTTCGAAGTGTGACTAAGTCGAGTCTGATTGCACTGGTATCGGAGCAGGTACCCGCTGTTCCATGCGCCGTCGTGTGTAGGTTGAGGCGCCATAGCTGAGGTGGCCGCTGGAGGAGGAAGTCCGCCATACCGGACCTTTAGCGGAAGAAGCTGCTGCGCACCTGCATCAAGAGGAACACGACGAAGAGGAAGATTGAGAGAGAGAGAGAGAGAGATGAGTGATACAAGATTGGTTACTTACCTGCTGCGCTGAAGATACCGCTATGGAGAGAGAGAGAGAGAGAGAGAGAGAGAGAGAGAGAGAGAGAGAGAGAGAGAGAGAGAGAGAGATGAGCGATCTAAGATTGGTTGTCACTTACCTGTGAGGCGAGTTGTGTGGTCCGGTGGAGAAGGAAGAGAGCGGCCATAGCCACGGAGTATCGACACAGGGTGCTGAAGGAGAGAGACATGGAGGACAGAGAAGGAGGGACTAAGGAGAGAGAGAAAGAGAAGTGTGGAAGGAGGGCGTTGGAGAAGAAGACAGACATAGCCGGGGGTGAACACAAAAAAAAAATATATATATACAGAGAAAGTGAAGAAGAAGAAGGTGAAGGAAGGGGAAGTAAGCGGCGAGGGTGATGAAGGTGAGGGTGTCGGCAGCCATAGCCGAGGTGAAGGGTTGACCGGGCGTCGACCAGAGCGTTGACCAGGGGGTTGACCAAGGGTTGACCAGGCGTTGACCGAGGGTGTTGACCAAGCGTTGATTGAGGGTTGCCCGCGTTGACTCAGCGTTGACCAAGGCGTTGACTGGAGCTGCTGGCCAAGGTTTTGACCAAGCTGGAGTTGGTGATATCTCGTTGAACCCTCAGCCTATCCCCTTACCCTGTGGATGTGCACACCCCTACGGTACTTGCTGAGTTGAGTCTGCCTGTCTTCCTTTGTGCATTGAGTCCCTTCTGTCCTAGGTGTTAGGACTCTGTGGATGAAGGATAGGGCCTTGCTGCCAAACCTGCACGGGACTTAGTAGGACTAATCTCTACTCTGGTATCTGGAGACCTGGGCATGAGCGGCGAGCGCTCGTTCAACAACTCGTCTAGCCCAATGACCGGTACTGTCCGGCAGGTCTACTGAGCTCAGTGTAGAGGGTTTGAACTCCGAGCTGTGGGCTGAAACAAAGGCCGTCTTTAAGTGTTGAGGCCTGGTTGAACCACTCCTCTACCGGACCTAGTAAGGCTGATGATCTGTGTCTGACGACTCCCGAGGGATACGAACCCCTCCAAGGACCGGTACAGACCGGCGGGCTGCTCGGTGTGGCACAGTAGGCCGGAACGGCTGAGTTGTGGGCTGAAATCGCCAGGAAGAACTACGCTGATCACGTCGTCCTGACTGTGACGTTAAAGAATTCTTGAGGAGTTTGGGGGATCTCCTTAAATGCCTCCTGATCAGCTGTTAGTTCAGTAGTGACAGCCTTAGAGTAGTTGTGAGTAGTGGGTCTTAGAGAGTCAGTCAGTAGGTCAGTGTGTCCGGGTAGGTCTAAGTGGTGAGGAGTGGGACATTGTCGTGCACCTGACACCACGATGGATGACTATCCGATGTATGGGTTGTTGGTTGGGTTCTCCCTCTGGGGGACCCTCTGGCGTCTCCTCTTCCCTCTGGGGTTCTGGCACGCGATGACGTGTAGAGTAGATACCCGGGGAGGTACGTCCACTAATCATATTCGAAAGAGGAGGAGGAGAAGATGGCCGCCATTCTGCAGGAGAGGAAGGAGAAGGAGGCCAAGAAGAGGGCGTTGCAGGAGGAGCAGGCGGCCAAGTTGAGGAAGATTGAGGAAGAGATGGCCAGGGAGAAAGAGAGGCTGAAAAAGGAAGAAGAAGAGAAGTTGAAGGAGGTGGATGAAGAAGAGGAAGGACCGCCACTGCAAAGGCAGAGTGGGCGACAGGCACTGGAGGACCAACAGAGGATGGAGTGGAAACTTGCCATGATGAGGGAGAAGAAGAGAAGGGTGGATGCGGCGAGTGAAGCGGTCAAAGAGTTGGAGGAAGTGCAAAAACTAACGTTACAGTTGGCCCCGCAGGTAGATCTCCAACGTAAAGTGGAGATTATCGCCCAGAGCGTCGAGCGTTTAGCCAGGGTACAAGAACAACAATATGAGTTTAGTCGCAGCCAGGATATAGCTGTGCGTTCGATGCGACTGGGATTTCGGGACTTTGCTCGTGAATTAGTAGGCGCAGTAGGAGCCGAGGTGAATCATCGCCTCGAGAAGACTAAGCGCTTTTGTGTCGGCGCCATTGAGGGCGTCAAGATGGCAGCTCCCAGGGAGGAAGAAGCACGTCCGCGTAGGGAGCCGGTCAAAGTCAAATTCCTTGACTCCTACAGTGGAAAAAGGGAAGAGAACTTTGACAATTGGGAGGCCAATGTTAAGACCTACGTGCACTTGCAACAGGTCTCCCCGGATCAGCGGGTCCTGATTGCGATCCATGCTTTGAGAGATGAGGTCGCTAGTCTTGCAAGGTCCCTAGTTCGCGCTGCCAACTGTAGTGATGATCCCGTTGCGTATTCCTCGTTTACGTCCCTCACCGAATTCTTGAAGTTGCTGCGCGAGCGATTTGCTGATGTCGCTCGCAGCGTTAAAGCCTCAGATAGGCTGCAGACGATCCACGCTCGTAAGTGGAAAAGTGCGAGGGCCCTCAAGAGTACTATGGATGAGTTAGTGGCTGTCCCTGACCACGGGGTGACGGACACCCAGTTGGTTGGCCTCTTTTATCGGGCTATACCCGAAGCCCTTCGTGGGCATTTCTTCGCAAAGAGCGAAGACCCTGCCACTACATACGATTCTCTTAGTCGTGAGGTGGTGGCCTTTGAGGCCAAGTCTATGTCAGTTTCCACCTTCTGGCACAAGGACTTAGACAAGGGTAAGCAGTGGAAGGGCCGCACTATCTCAGGGCAAGTGAAGACTAAGGATAGTCTTGTCCTGACTTTAGACGAGGGTAGTGTGGATGAGATCCCCTACAATCAGATTGAGTGGGGGTTAGAGGAGGAGGACAGCGGTGTGGGCCAGGGGAGGACTTACGCTGCTGTCGCGGCTGGAGGGAGGCCGCAAGGAGGAGGACGAGGCCAGGGCCAAGGGGGCCGGGCCTCAGGGAGCCAGTTTCAAGGCGATCAGGGGGTTGGCGGCAGAGGAGGAAACCGCCAAGCAGGTGGAAGGGGTCAAGGTCCCCCGCAAAACCGTGGCTATGGTCATGGCAGTGGTTATAATTTCAAATTTTCAATTTTGTCATTTTTACTGGTTATGGTTATGGTTGGAATTACCGTGGGAATGATTGCAGTTAGGGTTATGGTGTATGTTTATGGATTCGGTTTGGGGTTATGGTTACGATTATGGTCGTGAGTCATGGTCTTGTCATGGTTATGGTTATGGTCATGGTTTTGTCGTCGTTCTGGTTATGGTTATGGTTGCGGCTACTGTGGGGATGATTGTGGTTATGGTTATGGGGCCTATGGCCATGGTGGTGGTTATAATTTTGTCATTTTTCATTGTTTAGGTTTATGGCTGTGATTACTGTGGGGATGATTGCGGTTATGGTTACGGTATATGTTTACGGAGTCAGTTTGGGGTTATGATTATGGTTCCGCTTGGCGGTCGTTGTGGTTATGGTTAAGGTGGTTTTTATCCGTGTGCTTCTTTTCAATTTTTTTTTTCCTTTTTTTTTTTTTTTTTTCATTGTAGTATTTTGGTCTGTTGCTTCCACTGGAGTTTGTACTCAGGTCTGCACTTAAAGAGTTTAGGAGTGTAGCAACTAAGATAGGCCAGTCGATCTTGTTTTTTTTTTTTTTTTTTTTTTTTTTTTTTTTTTTTTTTTAAATGCTGTGGTGGGCTGTTCCAGTTTTCGTCTTTTGTTCTGCTTATCGTCATCATCATCACACATTGTTATTGTTATTGTTATTGTCATCGCCATCCTCATTATCGCCGGCATTGCCGTCGTGGTGGACGTACGATAGAGGATGATCGACGTTTTCTTTCTTTGTTTTTTTAACTCTTTTCTTTTTCTTTTTTTTTCCTTTTTATGCAAATGTTTTTGTACTATGGGTGTCCTCTGAAGAATCTGAAGAGTCTGAACCATTGTAAAAATAATAATAATAATAATCATTAAAAATCATGGTGTACGTGCGTGCCACTGCGTGGCTTAAGGTTTTCAAGTTTTGCCTGGGTGTTTAGAACTGTGTTCCCTTGCAAACCAAGCAACCTTTTTTTTTTTTTTTTTTTTTTGACAAGAAACAGCCTTGGTCTGCTGGAGGGGTTGATATGAGCATCTCCCTGTAGAAGGCCAGGTGGAACCAAAAAAAAAACAAAAAAAAAACAATGATGTTGCTCCAGCCTATTGGTGGGGATTTGGTTGATTTAACTTGGGTGGTTTGGAATTTTCTGGAATTTGTTTCTGAAATTCTAACGATTGGTTTTCTCATTTTGTCAATGTTATTTATTTTTTATCAATGAAAGTTTTATTTTTCAATTAGTTTGACTTTATTTCCCATTGATAAAAATATCAAAAAATGATTATTTACTATTTTTACTAATTTATGATTTACTACTTTCAAGTCCACCAGTCCGTTGGATGCCAACGCTCCAGAAATTACCTATTGAGGAAATCCGGATAATTTGGGGAAGTAATCTTGTTTTTTTTCTTGTTTTCTTTTTTTTCTTTTGTTTTGGAGAGAGAGAATTATTTTAAATAAATTACTTCAGACCACAGCAGCAGCATCTGGATGTACCCAGCACATGTAGCTGAATGATACAGACATGTAAATATTAATAAGTTAATAACTTAATAATCGATTGATCACCTCTATAATAGTTTATAATACCTATATAGAACTGGCATTTCGTTAGTATTTTTCAACTGGCTTTCTTCTGTGTGTGCATTTTGAACTATTGTAATATTTTACTAATTTTAGTATTTTTCAATGAGCCAAAGAGTGAAAAGAAAAAACCAGGTACGCCGCCCTAGGAAGGCCATTCTTTTGTCATTTTATTATGTTATAAAACTAGGCTATCAGCCGGGCCGCCCGGGGCACCTGCCGTGCAAGGACCAAAGGAGGTCCCAGGCTCCCAGCAAAGAAAAGGAAAAAAAGACAAAGAACAAAAGTAACAAAAACAAAAAATCTGGAAAACAAATTTTATGACAGTTATGCGG